AATGAATATGAATATATGGTTATTCTTTAAGGCCTACTATTTCTATACCCCAAATGAAAGCTCATCTAATTAAATTTTAAAACTTACGTTTTTTAATACGACACTACATTTTCAGGTGGTGGAGAGAGATGGGCCTGGCAAATAAACTAAGTTTTGCAAGAAACAGACTAATGGAAAGCTTCATGTGGACAATTGGAATGGTTCCTCAACCTCAATTTGGGAAATGTCGTGTTGGACTAACAAAAGTGGTCCAGCTAATTACTGTTTTAGATGATATTTATGATGTTTATGCTTCTCCTCAGGACCTTCAACTGCTAACAAATGCTGTACACAAGTAACTTCTCTATCTTATACTTTTCACTGTTTGACCTTAAAACAAAAGTTGTTAGTATTAAGTGGCGTTCTTTTATTTTATTTTATAGTATGAATTCCGTGCAGTGTACGGGTAAGATATATTCATTAATATTTATAAATTAAAAATTCTCATTAAATAATATTTATAAATAAAAAATATGGAATCTATATAATACAATTTACCTGTATTAATTTATTGAAAATGTTACATAAAGTTTAAATTGTGCAAAAATAAATAAAAATGTCTATTTAAAATTAGCACACAACCCGTGCGGTGCACATAACTGATACTAAATTACATTATATTCGTTTCAAAGTAATTGTCATTTCAAAATTTTTGATTCAAAAAATTCGATTTGACTATAATGTGATTCCATAAATAGTTATTTTAGTAAAAACTTGTCATATATTTAACAGCCTATGTGAATAATAAGTATAAATATAAAATTTATATTATTTCATTAATTAAAATAAATTTATTTTTGTATAACTATTCAGATAAAAAAAAGTAAGTAGCGTTGATCTAACCTTAATTGTATACTATTGCGTGTTCTATAAATCCAGATGGGATGTCAATTATGTGGATCATCTCCCAGACTACATGAAAATGTTCTTCTTGGCTCTCTACAACACGGTCAACGAGCTGGCTTATGATACCTTGAAGGAACACGATCAAGTCGTGATTTCTCAACTTAAACAAGTGGTAAGTTCACTATTAATTACTCTTAATACACAATTGCTTCATGATTTTAAAGTTCTACAAGCTAATTGATCCTAGTATATGTGTCCGATATTCCTTAATTAAACGTCTTTTTAATACAGAAGTATTGTCCTGACAATCGACATACAGAAAGAAATTTAATTTATATGTATTTATTTATTTATTTTGGTCAGTGGGCGGATTTATGCGACACATTCTTAAAAGAAGCAAAGTGGAGACACAACAATCACATTCCCAAGTTTGATGAGTATCTAAATCATGGATGGGTTTCATCTTCAGGGGCTGTACTGTTAACTCATGCCTACTTCTTAGTCACTCACAATGTTACAGATGAAGCCACCAAATATATCAGTGTTTATGGCAACAATTTGATGCGTTCTCCATGTACAATCTTCCGGTTGGCAAATGATCTAAGTTCCTCCCAGGTACAGATATGTTATTAGTAATTAATTAATACAAGAGATTCCATGCTTTCTGTTTNAAAATTTCAATGACTCATCCATATATTCCAGTGTTTATAATTATTTTTGCTACAACTACTAATATTATTATTTGCTCTCAACTATTAATCATGTGATATATAAAGCTGAAGAATACTTCAATTGCTCATCATTGAGATATATTCGCAGGAAGATGGAGAAAGAGGAGAGGTTGCGAAAGCAGTGTCGTGTTATATGCACGAAACCGGCTCGCTTGTTGAAGATGCTCGTGTACATATAAGGAAACTAATAGATCAGAACTGGAAACAGATGAACAAACAAATATCATGTAATTTTATTTTTGACAGTAATTTTATTGATACATGTTGTAATCTGGCTAGAATTGCCTTATGCCAGTACCAACATGGAGATGCTCATACCACACCAACCAACATTTCAAGAAATAGAGTGAAGTCCATCATTATTGATCCAATATCAACATGTTAACTGAAAATGTAGCTTAGGAAAAATTGGAAAGTGTAGTTTTACTTAGGAATGAAAAATCATTCATATTGTTACTGGGATATATGTATGTATACAATTTCTTCTCCACAATGATTTTGATTCAAAGTTGTATAAATGCGCTTGTTGTACCAGTTCATTCAATTGGCTTATGATTGTTACATAGTGGAAGCATAATTGCAACATATTAAAACAGAACCAGAAGAAAGAAGTGGTTAACCAGGCTACAAAGACCTTGGGGACTTTAATCAAGAATAATTGTCTGTTTTGTTATTTTTTTTTTTAGATTATATTATAAATCAAAATGCACAAATGTACGAATACACAGCAGCCAACGACTGAATATACAGCAGTCAACAACTGAAAAAGTGGGAGGACAGGTCAGAAGACCGCCTAGAGTCCCGCTAGCAACGCTAGAAGAAAACTCGCAACTAGAACTAATCAACTAAAACAACTAAAACAACAAACAACAACTAAAAGGACCCCAACGGAGTAATACCCGAGTGTCGGATCCCATTGGGATAATAAGGTGACACTCGGGTTCACAGGGGCCAACGGCCAAGACCAAAAACACAAACATAAAACATAAAAACCAAACTACAAAACAAACACTAAAAAGACAATAAAAAACACACGAGCCCTTCCTCTACAGCAAATCCTATCCTAACTAGCAGCCACCAAATCAACCTAGGGGAATCCCACAGCAAAAGAAAGCAACCCCTCCACTGCCAAACTGCCTAGCTGAGTCGAAACTCCTGCCATGAATCCACCCAAATCCAATTCTTCCAAACGTCATAAAAACATCCAGAAAGCTCCCAACACCGCCAAAACAAACAGTGCGCCCCGGAACCCAACCCCAGAGAACCGAAAAAAAAGAGCTGACTCGACGCCGCAACCCCAGCTCCAATTACTCAAAAACACGAAGATACCTGAGCCGCACAAGAACCCGTCCCCCCGAACCGCAGGCGCCAAACCCTGCCTCTCCACCCGAGCCGCAGCCACTTGGCTCCGTCAACACAATGGAGGGACAGAGAAAGCAGGAAGCACAACTAGTCGCAGACAAAAGAGAACCGAGACAAGGTCGGCGAGAGAAAGAAACTTACCCTCAGTTAAGAGCGCGCCTTCTTCTATCACCCAGCCGCCGGCGAAATAGAACATTGCAGACCAACCGAACCCCCTAACACACCCCAGCAACCAGAAAGACGAACCAAAATGCTCATCCAGCCATCGATAGCGGTTACAAAGAGATGCTAGGCCGAGAAGCCCAAGACGCTCCGACCCGAGAAATTGAAATGCCAGAGCCGCACCCGACCCTAACCCACGACACCGCAGCCCATAGACCCTCCACGGCACCAAAAGCCCTGCACCCACAAACCCTAACCCACCTTCTAAAGAAAGCGAATTTGAATCTGCAGCCACAAGAACCATCGACTTCCGTGGTCATCAAAAGCGCAGCACCTGGGAGGGCCGGGTGGCGTAGGAACGACCACCGGTAAGGCTAGAAGCTGCGAGGAAGGCGACGATTTCCGATTTGTAGCGGCGAAGGAGGAAGAAAATCTGGGGATCGAGAGATAGAGAGAGAAAAGATCTGATCGTTCGTTGTTTTGTTGTTATTTTTTATGTTTTTATATAGTTTCCCAACTCTTTTCGAGTTCATTTATATGTTTCCCAGTCCACTTTTTCCGTTTATGTCTGTTGTTGAACACTGTAATAAATTTCATTTACCAAGAAAACGCCAATCCAAAAACTTGCAGTATTTGAGCCTCTGAGTTGGTTGAACAAGGCGTGGTCCGAATCCCTCATATGAGTATTCCTGGGTATCACAAAATACCTCACAACAAATAATGACAAACATTACTACTAACAAATAAGCCAACATTAATAAATAAAAGACGAGAAATGAAAAGAACACACAAAATTGATAACAGAGTTCTGTCAATATTACCTACGTCTCCAGGAACAGCCGACCGCAATGCCAAATTAACTAAACTCGCCAAAAAAATACAACTAGGGTTAAATAACTCACAAATTAGGATTTCCTTAATTCCCTTCTTAAGATATGAGATAAGAGAATAAGATTCAATTGTAAGCCAAAGGCAAAAGACCTATTTATATTAAAATGATCATACACATCTTTGTTATACATACGATGTGGGACAAACATTAATCAGAACTTAACAATTCTCCACATTTACTAATTTTTCTCGCACTTCAACTCTCCAATCCAACTGACTGCAGTGCCTCCAAATATGTCTTTCAATGCCATCTCAAATATGCAGGATGTTGGTCAAGTCTAAACAATATTCAAACTTGACTTCTGTCACTACCTTAGTCATCATATCTGCAGGATTCTCCGCCGTCTTAATTATCTTCTTCAAACAACATTTTCAACTTCTAGAATCTCCCTCACAAAGTAATACCGAATACTAATATGTTTTATTCTTGCATGAAATACTTGATTTTTCGCTATGTGAATAGCTCTTTGACTGTCACAATGCACTATGACGTGCTTTTGACAAACTCTAAAGTCTTCAAGCAATATTTCAAGTCAAATTGCCTCTTTCACAGCTTCAGTAACCACCATATACTCTGACTCTATAGTAGACAAAGCACCCGTTGACTGTAAAGTAGACTTCTAACTTACTGGAATTTTTGAAAAATGTGAACAAATATTCATTCGTTGATCTTCGCTTATCTAAATCGCCCGTGTAGTCAAAATCACAATATCCAACCACATATTGACCAAATTCATCCTGCTCATAAACTAATCCAACGTCTACAGTATTATGAATGTACCGTAGAATCCATTTCACAAATTGTCAATGACCTTTACCAGGGTCATTCATATACCTTCTCACAACACTAATTGGTTGTGAAATGTCAGGCATTGTACACACCATTGCATACTGTAACGCAAAATTCGTAACTTGAATGCCTAGACATACATCAAACAAGTAACATCATTTCCATATTGCACTCTAGCATGTTCTTGTTGGGTTCGATAGTACCGTACGGGCTGTACGCAGCGGAATTTAAAATTTTTAAAGTAAGTATTTATCGTATAAATACAACACCCGTACATACTAATTGCGAATTAACTGATCGTCATCTTTAAAACATGCATCATATACAAATTTTGATTTGTTACTATAAAGTAAATACTAGTAAAATATTTACCGAATGTCTTGAACTCCTTCACTATTGATGATGGATGAGGGAATCGGTTCCCGGTTGTAACTTCAACGACTTGAGGTTACTCGCTAGAGGAATCCAAGTGTCTTCCCTCTAAACGTATCCACCCTATGAAGCCCGGTTCCGACGACTTTCCTTCGCTAGTAGAAAAGACTCGGTTTTCTTGTATAGGAATATTTATGAATTTTATTTGGGAATTTTAAGAACTCTTTCTTGAAGTTTTATGAAGAACACTTTCTTCTCTTTCTAACACTTAGAAATTTAGGATCAAAAACTTCACTTAAATGCAAAACCATTTTGCATATATTTATACTAAACATTTTAGCATAAAATAATCAACATTTAGTAATATTAAATAAAATCAAATTTTATTTAAATAGTATTTACTAACTTTTGACTTTGAAAATAATAAGATATGTTAAGTAGTTCAAACAACCATCAACAACCATTTTATTATAATCATATTTATTATTTTAATCCTTAAATCATATTTAAAGATATAAATAATAATTGGATAATAAATCTTGAGAATCTTTCTCAAGACTTTATTATTATATCATTTTCCCAATATTATAATAATCATATTATTATTATTTTGGATTTTTGAAATTTAAAATCCTATTTTAAAATTCAACTTTATTAATTTAGTAATTACCTTAATTACTAAAGTAATATCCAAAATGTAATTAATCAATCTTATTGATTAATATATTCCTTTAATTGATATCTAATCAAATTAGATATTTATCAATTAATTCTAACCATTAGAAATACAATCTTTACCTTTGTTCATAATTAGTGTGACCTTTTAGGTTCACCTTAATACTAGTAGTGGGTTTACAACACTTTGTAATTTGAGTTAAATCTTATTAACTCTTATTCATGAATTAACCCTTTAATTTATGAACCCACATATCATGGTAACACCTAGCAAGTAGCATGAATCTAGTATTAAGTGAATAGCGAGTAAACCTATTCCGATTACAACTCCATACATGTAAAATCCTTTCGACATCTAATTTCCCGATTAAGTCTTGGGTATGATTTTGTCGAAACCCAAATTGACTTAATAACTATGATTCTATTTCATGTTTATTAACCCGGTTATGAATCACTATTCATCTCTGCCTTGGCCAAGGACTTTGGATTAATAACTATGAAACACATAGGAAATTCACTTATCTTCATAAGTGTCGAATCCTTTATTGGCCACTAACAAACTTCCATACATATTAACATAATACCCAACTTATCCCTTTAAACGATAGTGCTAGCTACCAAAAGGATAAATCAAAGTAGAATGTAATATGCACAAAGTTACCATTGTGCCTCAAGTCTTAGGATTAGTCATGTACTATTGTAACATGAAAATTCTTATTCGACTGAATAAATTCTTCATTAAGAATTTTCATACGGTCATGTTCAGTGAACTTGTTCTCTAACAAGCACCCACATAAATGTACTTACGTCTTACGCTAATGTTGATGGAATGCAACATTCTTGTCCAACAAGCATACAAACTATGTGCAAGTCTTTTATGGATTATTCGATATCCCATCTCGAAACATCCATCGACTTGGAACTGTATTTAAGATCACGGCTTTCAAGGTATGTTCCATGATCACCATCTCTATGCGCAACCATACCTTATAACCATAAGTGATCTAAGGATTTTATCTTAAGTGCAATTATAAGATAAATGCTTTCTCTTAAGATAAAGAAATGCCTTATTCATAATATAATTCCAATAGACTGTATTTACAAGTAGAATACGTCCAATTAGATTGGAACGTCGGGTACCCTACTCTAACAATTCTCTCGTTTTTCATCACAATTTGGTTATAACTGGGCACTGAACTTCAAATGAGGGGAAATTGGCGTATTTATAGGCTTTGTCTCATCTTTTATGACCAAACAATGTAGTACCTTATTCATATATTGCATACAAAGTTCGCCTCTCGTTGTGTCCTTTCTTATCACCATCCTGAGTATTTTCTTAGTTTCCCCTAAGTCATTTATCTCAAACTTTTGATTCAAATGATCATTCTCCACTTTGCTCTTTGATGCAACCAACATTTCATCCACATACAAATGCAAGTAAACGATGATGCATTTTGAAGCTTGCGTAAAAGCACATAATGAGCATGTCT